ACCGGATCGAAGGAATTTTTTCTGAGTGTTTTTTCTGAGTGTTCAGTCTTTGTATTAATAATAATAACAAACTAGTGGAGTAATTTCACAAAAAATAATTGAATATCAATTCAATAAAAATTTAATTAATATGTATGTATGTTTATTTTTTAATTTATTTATTTAGGAACTTTTGTATAATGTACATGTCAATTCCATCCTATCCTAATATATCGATGGCTTTCTAGAATAGTGTACCCTATCTCAAAAGCATCGAATTCATCAATGATATGGTTTAAAAAAGACCATCCCAACGTTATCATATGATTATTTTAACCAATGAAAAGCTTGGTGGCCTAATCACAATAAACTTTGTCATTTTCTGAACAAATCTCAACAATATGTAAAAAAATGAACAGTTTTGGATTGGGCCACTGTTATTGAAAAGCAGTGGTACAAATATTCTAGGAAAGTTGTTAAAGGGTTGTAGTATAAGAATTGTTATTGTTAAGCACCATGTATTTACATCAATGTTATTACTTATTATATTCAGTGTTAATCAAGCATCGAGTTGTCTCATTCGTCTCCGTCGTACGCTCTCCCTACATGGCGACCCTGCCATTTTTGGGATGTAGCTAGTGCCCGGTTACAGTTTGGCTCAACGGACTTAAAATGTATATTATTTATTCTAATCGACACTTAACGGACGTGGACGTAAATTTTAGTGCCAAAAATGTGTAACTCAAAAATACCTGAAAAACCGGAAGTCACCGCACAAGTCGGTGTTAACAACCAAATTACAAACAATCATATCGTGACCAATATTGGGATCATTTCGTGGTCCATGGTGGCAATTATCATAATACTGTTGATGGTTGGAGCTATCATTATGATCCGATATTGTGTGAGGTGTTTCAATAAAAGAGTGCAGCGAGGCGTTGATGCAGGCATAATACGGTTAAACAAAATGTAAGAAGGAGCGAGCATTCCTTGTAACGACGACGACCCCGATTCCCTATGAAGAAACCTGAGTCGCGAGATGTTCCTGTCACGAAGCAAATTGCTTTGATAAACCAGTATACTAGTGAGTGAAAACCAGTGTAAATGTGGTAAAAATGATGAAAATTTAAGTGCTAAAAAAAAAAAATTTTTTTTATTATACGGTTATACTACATTATAATATGTACATTATAGACTTTAAGTATACATATAATATGAATAGTATAAAAATATAGGTAAGTGCGATTTTATGTATGTCAGAATATCTGGAAAATTTAAATGAAGAGCTTTCAAAGATTAGAACCTACTTAATTAAAATTGGACGTAAAAGACGATGTGGAAAAATAATTGAAACTAAGCTTAAAGAGGCAAATGAATTATTAGAACAATATAACACTTATATAGATGCTATTACTAAGGTATATCATTTAAAAAGTAAAGAAGAAAAAAATTTAATTGATAAATATTGTCAGGATTTTAAGTTATTGTACAGTGAAGTAAAGAATCTTTGCAATATAAAAAAAGAAAGTGAAGAAATATTAAAAATGGCAACGTTCGATCTGAAGGTCGCGTTAAGTCTTCTGCCAGTCATGAGTGACAAAGAAGAAAATACGAAAGAATTAATTGATAGTATTGAGTACTATGCCACTACCTTAGATAACGAATCGAATAAAAAATTAATTTCCTTTATTTTAAAAACTAGGCTGTCTCAATCGGGTAAGCTAAAATTATCTAGTAAATACGAGAATATATCAGAATTACTGACCGATATGCGCAAACAATTATTACCAAGAAAATCAGCATCGGCCATACAAATGAAACTTCAAACATGTAAGCAAAATGAACGCACTGTTGCTGATTTTGGCAAGGAAATTTCTGAATTGTTCGCGGATTTAACTATTACCCAATCGGACGGAAATTCTGATCATTATAA